ATCCCTGAAACTGCAGCTCTACACGTCGGGGACCCCAGCCCCAGCTCACCGGACTCAGGTGTGTTGCATCATCCAGATGCACTGGGCCGGCGACCCCAGGTGTGGGTCACCCTCGTCAACCCAGTCAGGGTGGTGACCTTTCGTATTCCTCCCTCGGTGCCATCACTCCTGCCTGACTCAGCCCTGACTCAGGGTTCCGCATTCCCCCTGGGGGCTGCTTCCTGATTTCGAGAGTGACCCGGGTTACTAGAAACCAAACAGGGCAGGAGGGGGGCCGGCTGAGGGGCCGGGACCTGGCTCCCCCCAACTTCCCTCCGGATACCCCAATTGCAAAACCTCCAGTTGAAGGTGTCTGTGGCCTTCCGGTCACAGGCGCCATTGGTGACAGCTCGTCTCCTGGGGGATGGCGGGGGGGGGGGGACTCAGACGCCTTCCTGTCGGGGAGACGGGTGGGAGTTTCATCTCTGAATTGCGGTCTGAGCACTGCTCACCACCTGTGCCAGCCTGGGCCCCAGAGACCCTCATCAGCGCAGCCCTCCCTGGGAAGGGAAGGAGACATACCCGTGCCCGGGCATTCGGGGGGCTTCGGGAGGGTGGGCCTGGGCAGGGCCAGGGTTTGCGCCTGGTTCCGGCTTCCGTAAGCCTGGCCTGGAGCACGCAGCTTCCCGCATGCCTCAGCTTTGGACCCTGGGAGGGATCCTGGCGGGGGATGTCACCCCCAGCCCAGTGGGTTTGGGTTTGGGGGGTCAGGATCACTCTTGGTGGGGCTCGGGTGACCTTGTGGGATGTTGGGAACAAAGGGGTAAGGCAGGGGTTAGAGCGAGAGCGCGGTGGAGAGAGCATTTGCCTTGCACGCGGCCGACCGGGGTTCGATTCCCAGCATCCCATAGGGTCCCTTGAGCACCTCCAGGAATGATTCCTGAGTGCAGAGCCAGGTGTGACCCAAAAAGCAAAAACAAACAAGCAAACAAACAAACAAACAACAAAGGGATAAGGCAGAGAGGCTGAGGAGCAGAGCAGGTAGTAAGATCCTGAAGTCCGGTGTGGAAAGCAGTGACTGCTTGTCTCTGCTCTTTCTCGCAGAGGAAGCATCTCTCCAGATAAGCGGCTTAGAGACCTTTATCACGCCCCCTCCCTCCCCTGGCAGGGGACCCTTTGATATGTAAAAGCTTAGCCTTAGATTAGCAGAGATAGGCGATTGGCTGCAGAATGCCCCCTTGTGCCACTAATGAGTTGGGTTAGAGCAATACTGGGGGGGGGGGATGGGATTCAGCCCTCAAGCGGATAACATTCTCCCTCTCCCCCCCCCCCCCCGCTCCCCCCACACACTTTTTCTCTTATATTTGCCTTTTTTCTTAATCCTCAGCAGCAACCCTGCTTCAGCCCTGTTTGTGGCCAGAGACGGGGCCTGGGCCAGCTGCTTGCAAGGCAGGTACCTGCCTCGCTGTCTTACCTCTCCGGCCACCAGTGGGGTTTTGTTTTGTTTGTTTGCTTTTTGGGTCACACCCGGCGATGCACAGGGGTGACTCCTGGCTGTGCACTCAGCAATCACTGCTGGCGGTGCTTGGGTGACCCTATGGGATGCTGGGAATCGAACCTGGGTCGGCCGCATGCAAGGCAAAACGCCCTCCCCGCTGTGCTCTCGCTCCAGCCCCACCAGTGGGTTTTTTTTTTTTTTGAGGCAACTGGAATTGTCCCCACTCTGTTCTGTGCTCCCCATGTTAAGTTTCCAAATCAAGACACGGAACGGGAGGTCTTGGCCGTCTCTCCTGTTCTCTGTCCGTCTCTCTGCTTGTCCGTCTGTCCAGCCCTCCCTGCCTCCGAGCCCGTCACTGTCCCGCCCGCTTTCCCCCCACTGGCTCCATGCCTGGGGGGTTGGTGACGCCGGAGTCTGGTGTAGGAAGGTTTGCCCGTGCTGTGGGGCTCGGGGTTTGGACATTCTTGTCTCAGAGCTTCAAAGACAAGGTTTGTTTAAAAAAAAAAAAAAAAGGAATCAGACCTTGGGCGGCCCGAGACTGCCGTTGTGAACTGGATCCCCGTGGAGCCCCTGCTTGGCGCCTCATTTTATCCAGCCGGCTCCTCCCGGAGATGTCAGGCGAATGTTTTCTTGGCGCTCAGCCCCGGGCTTTCCATGGAGGAGAGCGTGGCCTTTTGTCTCTTTGCTTTGGGAGAATTTTTTCTGCAGCAAGCAATGGGTCAGGGGTGATGGAACAAGTTCAAGATCGAGGCTTGCGCTGGGGCATAGAGTCCCCCCCCCCCGCCGCCCCCCACAGCGGCCTCAGGGGCCTGAGCTGGTTCTGCACAGGCCTTACCCCCTTGGTCCGGCCCGACCTGGGCTGGCCAGCAGAGCCCAGACCGCCTCACGCTCCTCGCGGGCCTGTTGCCCAAAGTCCCCGGAGATTCTGGTGGTCAGGACGTGTCCGTAATTCAGGGCGTCTCTCCTCAACTCGGCATCACTCCTGGACAGGACTCCCCCGGCAGCGTGTGGGAAGCCCAGCAGACACCTCGGGGCCCATGTGCTATCCCCGGGGACACATGTGTGGTGGACCCTGGGCTGTCTTCATCCCCTCCCTCCCCGCCCCCTGCAAACCCCCTCCCAGAGAAGAACCATTTCTGCCAGGTCTGATTGCTCAGCTGTCAAGGGGCAGAAGTAGCTGGTGAAGACCCCTTCTCTGGGCCCGGGAGGTGAGGGGTGTGTGCGGAGTTGGAGGTGGGCCCTGGCACCTGGGGCATGCGCACATGCCAAGGATGAAGGCGGACGTGGGAGTTTCCATCTTTGGTTCCGCTTCCCACGTGCGTGGGACTCAGGACGCTAGAGCTCATGAGAGTGAGCGTGGCCAGTGCAGGCCTGAGTTCCCTGCTCGGGTCTGGGTGGGCATCCTGCAAACCTTCCCCAGGCCCTCACTAACTTAGTCCTTGTCACAAACCCAGGGGAGGGACATTCCTAGTGTTCCCCGGGAGGGAAATGAAGTTCAGAGAGGTTAACGGGCTTGCCAAGGTCACACAGCCTGGGAGCAGGAAGCGGCTACTACCAAAAACAAGCGCACTTTCATGTGTATGTGTGTGTGGTCATGCACGTGCATTTGTGTGTGCATGAATGTGTGCGTGTGCGTGCGCGTGTGTGTACATGTGTGTGTGCATTTGTGTGCGTATGTGCGTGTGCATGCATGCATTTGTGTGTGCATGTGTGTATGAGTGTGTGTGCGTTTGTGTGTGTGTGTGTGGTCATGCACGTGCATTTGTGTGTGCATGAATGTGTGCGTGTGCGTGCGCATGTGTGTACGTGTGTGTGCATTTGTGTGCGTATGTGCGTGTGCATGCATGCATTTGTGTGTGCATGTGTGTATGAGTGTGTGTGCGTTTGTGTGTGTGTGTATGGTCATGCACGTGCATTTGTGTGTGCATGAATGTGTGCGTGTGCGTGTGTGTGCGTGTGTGTTCGTGTGTGTGTGCATTTGTGTGCGTATGTGCATGTGCGTGCATGCATTTGTGTGTGCATGTGCATGTGTGTATTTGTATGAGTGTGTGTGCATTTGTGTGCGTCTGTGTGTGTGTGTGTGTGTGTACATGTGCGCGTGTGTGCTCACTTCTCTCTGCTCCTTTTTGTTTTGTTTTCGGACCCACCTGGGGGTTGGTTATTCCCAGCATTGAGCTCCAGGGTCACCCCCTCGTATTTGGGGGTGTGCAGGGCCGGGGAGTCTAGCCGGGCTCCTGCTTGCAGTACTTGCTCCTGCCCTCTGAGCCCTCTCCCTGGCCTCCCCCATTGCTTTTCGCCCGTGTGTGTGACAGCCGCCCTGGGCTGTCACGAGTGGAGCTGCAGCAGCGAGTTTTCCCTGGGACGGTGCCCGGGGACGCAGGCCTGCAGGGCGAGGTTCCTCGGGCATGCCGTGCTTTGCATTTCCCGGCGGCTGGCTTGGAGTCTGGTGGGAGTTGGTTGGAGACTCACTTCTGGCCTCTTCTCTGGTGCCCTGAGCCGAGCACTGAACTTGGCCTGGGGTACGAGGCTGCAGGAGCGCCCCCCAGACCCTGCCCCATCTGTTCTGTCTGTCTTCTTTGTTGTTGACTAAAGGTGTTGACATTTTCCCCAATTCTCCGGACTCAGCGTCACTGGCCCTGTCTAAGTCTGAGCGTCGGGATTGGGGGAGGTCCTAGGTCTTGGGGGGACTCAGGAATGCAGAGAAGCCCGAGCAGAACCCTCAGGGAAAAAAATAAGAAACAAAAAAACAAACAACTGGGGCTGGAGTAATAGCACAGCGGGTAGGGCGTTTGCCTTGCACACGGCCGACCCGGGTTCGATTCCCAGCATCCCATAGGGTCCCCCGAGCACCACCAGGAGAAATTCCTGAGTGCATGAGCCAGGAGTAACCCCTGAGCATCGCCGGGTATGAACCAAAAAGCAAACAAACAAAACAAAAAAACCAAACAACTGACAAACCAACGAGAGGACGTTGGATGTGACTCTTGGCATCTGGGCCACGTTTGGTGGCAGATAAGAAACCCAACATCCCCTCCCCCGCCACCCCAGGCCTGAACCCTCTCGTAGCCCTCTCGTCTTGCTGGGGGTCCCGTCAAGCAAGGTGGCGGCCCCCGGCTGCTGTCCCACACTGTCCCACACATCTGTTCTCTGCTTTCTAGGGCATCTGACGGCGGGAGGACTTGGCTTCCAGCAGAGGACACATCTCCAAGGGCATCGGAGAGGGCTCGTGGGGATCCCTGGGGATGGCACGCCCACCCGGCCCTCACTGAGACATGACTGCTGCCGACCTGGGGAATGACCCCATCCTCCCAGCCCCGTCGTGCCATGGGCACAACCTGAAATGCAGACCACCGGCCACTGCAGAGCCCGCGTCCTCGCCCTGTGACCTTTAGGGACTCTTCAGCATGACCCCGGGCGCCCCTGCCCTTTGCTCTCCGTGCAGGCGGATCCCGGGGGCCTGTTTCTAGCCCTCGGCCGCCCGCTGGTCCCCGACCCCGGCAGGGCTGCTCACAGTCCCCGGCTCCACACCCCCCCCCCCCCCAGCATCGCCCATGGCTGGGCGGGCCCGCGGGCCCAGGCCGTGAGCATGAGGCACTGCCCCGACGGCTGCATCGAGTGGCCGCCCGCACACAGGGAGAGGCTCTGCTGCCCCGGGGGCCCCCGGCGTGGGCCCCGAGGCTGCCCCGCGTGTCAGGTGGAGGACCCACTCGTGTTCCACGTGGACGCGAAGCAGATGAACTTGCTGGCGGTGCTGGAGGTGCAGGCAGAAGGGAGCGAGGGCTGGGCCGGCCTCCCGCGCTTCCGGAAGGGCACGCGATGGAGCCTGGGCTTCGGGCTCCTCATCATGACCTTGGTGACGGCGTCCTACATCCTCTCGGGGGCCCACCAGGAGCTGCTCATGGCGCCGCCTTTCCACGCCGGAGGCTTCCCCGGCAACCCCGGGGTGCTGGACGGGGACGGCCCGCCCGGCGACTCAAAGGTCAGTAACGTCTCCTACGTGAAGGACTATCCCAGCATCAAAGCCACCATCGACAGCATCACCGCCCGCATCTCCTTCACCCCCCGGCAGCTCCCGGACCCCGAGGACCTCCGGAAGCAGGAACTACATGTGAGGATTTTTTAAAAAAAATTTTAAGTTTGCTTTGTGGGGCCAGAGCGATAGTAAAACCCTCGCTTCGCCGGTTTGACACCCCCACCCCCAGCGTCCCACAGGGACCCCGAGGCCCACCGGGAACGATCCCTGAGTACAGAGCCAGGAGTAAGCCCTGAGCACAGCCGGGTGTGGCCCATAAAAGCATAAACAGGGGGAAAAAATGGGCAACTTCCTGACTTAGCACCGTCCTTGGGAACACAGGAAGGAAGTGAAGGAAATTGTTCTCAAGTGTTAACAGGAAGGTCTGGAGCAGAAGCCTTGTCAGAGCACAGGGTGGGCACCCAGGGACGCCAACACACAGCCAACGTGCTGGGCTGGGTGTGCTGTGAGCACATGGCCAGGCGCCCTGACCCAGCCCCGCTTAGAAGGTGGCCTCCAGGCGGCCTGCTTAGAAGGTGGCCTTTGCCCATCGCCTTTGTACAGAGAGAACCACCCGCCTTTTCCCCATCTCTCCCAAGGACTGTGTTTCTCTGAGGGCCCTTTAGCTAGACAGCCAGTAAAAAGGCCCCAACTCCTTCAATATCATCATCATTATTATTATTCACTGTATCACTGTCATCCCGTTGTTCACCGATTTGCTCGAACGGGCGCCAATAACGTCTCCATTTGTCCCAGCCCTGAGATTTTAGCAGCCTCTCCTTACTCGTCCTTCCCAATGGTGCCTTATGGGAGGCTCTTTCAGGGTCAGGGGAAATGAGATCCGTTATTGTTACTGTTTTTGGCATCTCAAATATGCCACGGGGAGCTTTCCAGGCTCTCTGAGAGGGATGGAGAATGTATATAAGAGAATACAAGCAAGTATGTTAAAACCAAAATAAATCATAATAATAATCCGGCAAGCTACCGAGAGTATTCGATATGCCAGACACAGTAACAACAAAGTCTCCAATGGAGACATTACTGGGCCCGCTCGAGCAAATCGACGATCAACGGGAGGGCCTTTACCTTTACCTTTTAATAATAATAATTAACATTATTATTATTATTATTATTTTGGGCTGGAGCGATAGCACAGTGGTAGGGCGTTTGCCTTGCACACAGCTGGCCCAGCCAAGCTGGGTTCGATTCCTCCGCCCCTCTCAGAGAGCCCGGCAAACTACCAAGAGTATCTCGCCCGCACGGCAGAGCCTGGCAAGCTCCCTGTGATGTATTCGATATGCCAAACACAGTAACAACAAGTCTCAAAATGGAGACGTTACTGGGCCCGCTCGAGCAAATTATTATTTTGGTTCATTTTTTTAGGTCCCACCTGGCCACGTTCAGGGGTTCCCCCTGGCTCTGTGCTCAGGGATCACTCCTGGCAGGGCTAAAGGGGGGTCATATGTGATTCCAGGAAGAGAACCAGGATTGATCGTGTGCAAGGCACAAACCTTACCCACTGTGTTATCCATCCTGGGGTAACGGACTTGCCTGAAACGATTACCTTTGTTCGCCCCCAGTTTTAGTTTCATCTGGGGATGAGGAAGCACATGCTCTCGACCGGCTCACGCTTCCCGTTCTCCTACCCCACGGAGAACGATTCCCGAGAGGCCGGCGAGGCTGGGGTCAGCCCCAGGCAGGCCATGCCGTGCCAGAAGGGGCGTCTGCCGGTCCCCGCCTCGCTCACGGCGCTTCTCCCTCCTTCTCCTTTCTCGTGGCAGATGTTTTCCGTGATCCCCAGTAAATTTCTCCCAAACAGCAAGAGCCCCTGCTGGTACGAGGAGTTCACGGGCCGGAACGCCACCGACCCCTACCTGACCAACTCGTACGCCCTCTACTCCAAACGCTTCCGCTCCACTTTCGACACCCTGCGCAAGGCCTTCTGGGGCCACCTGGCCCACGCCCACGGGCGCCACTTCCGCCTGCGCTGCCTGCCCCATTTCTACATCATCGGGCAGCCCAAGTGTGGCACCACCGACCTCTACGACCGCCTCCGCCTGCACCCCGAGGTCAAGTTCTCGGCCATCAAAGAGCCGCACTGGTGGACGCGGAAGAGGTTTGGTGAGCGGGGCTGGACCTGGGCTCCCGTGGGCCGTGAGGCCTGCCAGACCCCCACTACGCTCACTCGCTTCTTAATCAAACGTGCGATGTGCGCGGAGCTGGGCATTGCAGGGAAGGCGAGGAGTGCAGCTGGGTGGCAGAGAGATGGGATCGCCCCTTCGAGGAAGCCCCTGCGCAGGAAATGACTTCCGGGCAGGGCTAGGTGCCCAAGGGGCTGCTCACCTGTGCGGGGGGGAGGGGGGTGGACCAGGGACCCGGCGGACACGGGTCTGGGCCCTCTGCTATAGCTCCAGGCGATCAGGTCTTGCCCATCTGCTGCCTTCAGTTGGGTTGACATAGACTGGGGGACCCTGCCTGCAACCCTGCTTCCCCTGGTTGACCAGGGACGCCGCCCAGCCCTCCTGCTCCCCGGGCCTCCGGGCCCAGCCTCTCCAGGGCTGTGGGTCACTGTTTCTGCTCTGCAACCCTGTCCCTGCTGCTGGATGTGCAGTCACTGTGCTCAGGAATGCCCGATGCCCCAGCTGGCCGCGCCTCTGGGGTATTCTCTGGGTAAAGGAACTCGGCCACTTGGGAGGGGATCAGAAGAGGTTCGTTGGTGGCCCTAACGTTCCACACAGCCGTGCTGGACAGGATCTCTCCAGGGCTGTCCTGGAGCAAATACGAGTGTCTTCTGGGCTTGGCAGCTGTGGGGGGGGGGGGGGGGGAGGCCCAGACCCGTCCTCATCCCTGGGGCCCCTCCCTGCCAACTTTCCCTCATGAAGGCAGATTCCCTGGGGCGGGAGGGTGGGAGAGGGGAGCCTCCAGTCTGGTGCCTGCGTCCCCTTCCCTCTGACCCACACTCTCACCAAATCGTGCTGTTTGCAAGTGAGATACACCCCATCAGGGGAAACCGAGACTGCTTGTGGCCAGTGCCACATGTCTGTGGGGACCAGCAAGGGGCCCTCGTTGGTGAGCAGGGTAGCCAGGCCAGGGACGGCCCAGTGGGTGCTGGCTGAGCTCAGAGGTGGCCGCAACCCTGAAGCTGCCTTTTTCCTCTCTGTGGGGCCCCTACTCCCAGGGTGTCCTTTCTGGCCTGGTCTCACCTGAGGCCACCGCCTGGCCCTCCAGGTACACGCCTTGAAGTTCTGAGCTGCTGAGGCTTAAGAGGAAGCGATGCCTGCCGCTGGGGTCACCCCTACAGCTGCGTGCACCTGGGCCTTCCTCCCTGCCCACCCATCAGTGCCTGCAGCCCCTGATAGACCCCCTTCTCGTCCCTGCAGGGATCGTGCGCCTGAGGGACGGGCTGCGGGACCGCTACCCCGTGGAAGACTACCTGGACCTGTTCGACCTGGCAGCGCACCAGATTCATCAAGGCCTGCAGGCTGGCTTGGGAAAGGAGCAGAGCAAGATGAACAGACTGATTATAGGTGAGGGACCATCCTGCCCTACCCCAGGCCCCGCCCCTGCCCCAGGCCCCGCCCCATCCAAGGCCCCGCCCCTGCTCCAAGCCCCGCCCCTGCCTGCCCCATCCTGGGCTCTGCCCCGGCTGCAGGCCCCGCCCCACCAAGGCCCCGCCCCCGCTTCAGGCCCCGCCCCATCTAAGGCCCCGCCCCTGCTCCGAGCCCTCTCCTGCTCTGGGTCCCGCCCCATTCCGGGCCCCGCCCCCACTTCAGGCCCCGCCCAACCCAAGGCCCCGCCCTTGTTGCAGACCCCGCCCTCCTCTGGGCCCCGCCCCTCCTTCAGGCCCCACCCCTGCTCCAGGCCCCGCCCCTGCTTGGGTCCCTCTGACCCCTTGCATCCTGCTGACCTCTTGCATCCCACTTCGGAGGGTGCCTTGGGGCACTGCCTGGGGCCACTCCTGAGCACAGCAGCAGGAATAAGCCCTGAGCACTGCTGGGTGCAGCCCAGCCCTTCCCCACACCCCGAGGAATGAGGGTGAGAATAAGGAATGAGGGTGAGAATAAGCGTTAGACATTCACAGCAATGCTTTATACAAACATCTGTTTGTGTGGGGTTCAGTGGTGTTTATCCACTCACACCTCTGCAGAAGAGCGGCCAATTAGTCCCGACGGCCACCGAGGCCTCTGTCTCTCTTCTGTTCTATTCTGATTCCTCAAGTTCCATTGATGACCAAGCGAAGTGGTGACCAAGCATTTGAAAGACGCTTCTTGTGAATTTCAGATCCGAGGGACCAGGCTTGTGGCCCAGGTTTTGTTGCTGTTTGAACTCCAAGGAAGCAAGTCACAGGGGCCAAATCAGTGAGAACTGGCGATCGGCCATTCTTACGGCCCTGGGTCCAAACACTCCAGACCTCGACTGTAATTAATGCTTGTCGTGACTCCCACTCTGTGTGCCTCTGGGAAACCTCACGTGCTTGTGAAAGAGCTAAAAATATGCTTGCCAGGGCCAGGAGCCGAAACCGGAGGCAGCGAGTGCTCACCGGGAATCCTGCCCCGGGTTTCCTCGCTGCCTCTAGATTTAGAAAGGAGGAACAGAAATAAAGCGAGGGTGCTGCTGTCTTTTCGAAGCAGCAGCCCGCTGAGATGGTGGTGTTGGGGGAATGCAGGGGAGGGGAGGGGAGCTAGGAGGGCAGCCCTGCCGTCCCCCACCAGCAGTGCCAGGGACACGTGGGGCTTCCTGTCCCCACGCTGTCTCCACATCTGCACAGTGGGCAGCTGGGCCCGGATCTCTGGCCCCGAAAGGCACATTAGCTCTGCTTTGCTTCCTAGGTGGGTCCTGGGAGAGGCGGGCAGCTCTTGATGCCCAGCAGGTCAGGGGAGTGGTCAGGGATAATGGCCTGGGTCACAAGGGCCTGGATTGGCCAGGGGTCTCTGGACACGTCAAAGGGCTCCTGTTGCTTCTCTGAGTCCCCAAGGCCCCCTCTCCTGGAGGGCACTGCTAGCTGATTGAATTCTAAGTCTTCCTGAAGGTTCTCAGATTGGAGGATTGTCAGTCTTGGGTTTTTCTTCCTGTTGTTGTTGTTTGTAAATCTGGGCATTAAATGAATGCTTTCTGGATGAACTGGATGGAGGGAGAGATGGAAAGAAGGAAGGAAGGAAAGAAGGAAGGAAGGAAGGAAGGAAGGAAGGAAGGAAGAAGGAAGGAAGGAAGAAAGGAAGGAAGGAAGTAAGGATGGAAGGAGAAGGAAGGAAGGGAGGAAGGAGAATTGATGGGTGGATGGATGAGTGGATAAATGGATGGAAGGAAAGAAGGAAAGATAATGGATGAATGGACAAGAGGAAGAAGGAAGGGAGGAAGGAAGGAAGGAAGGAGAAGGAAGGAAGGGAGGAAAGAAGGAAGGAGAAGGAAGGAAGGAAGGAAGAGAGGGAAGGAGGGAGGGAGGGAGGGAGGGAAGGAGGGAGGGAGGGATGGACGATGACTGGACAGCCAGGTAGACAGACGTCTGTCTGTGGTGAGAGCAATCACTCACTTCTGAGATTTGACAGGATGTGGTTCCGCTTGGACCCGCCGTGGACACTAATGTCTCTTTATCCCGCGTGAGTGGGATTTGCAGGGCCCTCTGGCTTGCCTTTTCGGAGTGCTATGGGAGAGTCTTTTCAGAGAGCGAGAGGGGAGGAAGGGCCGTGAGGGCGCTCCCCGCAGTGCAGTGATTGCTCCCGGGGCTCCTCCCGCACTGCTCCGGGCTGGGCCAAGATGCGGCTTTCAGACTCGGCTTTCAGACTCGGCTCTCCTGATGAGGCCGCCGAGAGCCACCCGTCGCTCCCGGGAAATGTCAGGAAGTGAAGCGTGTGCCGGACTGATTGGCCTTTGTCCGTCTCTGGATTGTCTTTTTCAGAAAGGGAGAAGCGGCTCCGTTATCTGAGATGTGTTCAAACATCGATCTGGGCCTCAGCTCCAAGAAAAGGCTGAATATTCTTTCCTTTTTTTTTTTTCCTCTTTGCTTTTTGGGTCACACCTGGCGATGCTCAGGGGTTCCTCCTGGCTCTGCACTTGGGAATCACTCCTGGCGGTGCTCAGGGGCCCCTATGGGATGCTGGGAATCAAACCCGGTTCAGCTGCATGCAAGGCAAACACCCTCCCTGCTGTGCTATTGCTCCGGCCCCCAAAAATCTGAATTTTTCTCCTTCCCATGGCCCATGAACCAACAGGCCGGCACCTTCTTCTGTCCCCCACCCCCGTTAGAGCTGGCCGGACACTGGTCATGTGCTGGGCCCGGGCTGGGGGTATGCAGGCTGCAGGCTGGGACAGGTCCTGCTGGCCTTTCACCCTGAGTGTCGGGAACCCACTGGTGCCATTTCAAAGAAAGCCCCAAACTGACAGCGTCTGTCCACAGAGGGCTTAAGTGTCTTCGACTCTCTCCTGGGAAAGTATCTCGGGGGTCCCGTGGGCTCTCCGCTCTGTGGCACCTGAGCTGGTCTGTCCTGAGCCACGCTTGATGCTGGTGGCATTAGGCGCCCGGCAGCGTTGACTGAGCATCAGAGAGAGGGTCTTGGGGGAGGCAGTGCCCGGAGTCACGAAGTCCTCTGAGTTCCAGACCACATTCATTCCCTTCGGGGCAGGAAGTGGCGGGGTCCGAGGGCGTCATCCTCCCCGGGGGCCCCCTGCCTGCCGCTGCCCTCCTGCTGCCCTCCCGCTGCCCCTCACGCTGTGCCATGTTCTGCCCAGGTGAGGCCAGCGCCTCTACCATGTGGGATAACAACGCCTGGACCTTCTTCTACGACAACAGCACGGACGGCGAGCCCCCGTTCCTCACGCAGGACTTCATCCACGCCTTCCAGCCCGACGCCAAGCTCATCGTCATGCTGAGGGACCCCGTGGAGAGGTGGGCGCTTCTTTGACTTTCTGGCCCAGGGGGGTGCCGAGACGGGGGTGGGGGTGGGGGTGGGGTGGGGTCGGGGGGGGGCGTTGCAGAGGGAGGTTTGCTCAGTACTTTCATGGGAGAAACGGCCTGCTTCTTGCCAACTGATTTTGCCACCTAAACATTTTTTTTCCTTCCTTTTGAAAAGTTTAGCTTGCAGGGTTAGTGGTATTTCTTATGTAAATGTTATGCTTGGGGTGATCTTCAGTATGTCTAAACAAGCACTGGCCCTGCCTGGTTCTGGGGGTTCAGCCGCCCTGCTGCTGTGTGATGTGTTGAGGGGTGTGGGAGCCTGCAGCAACCCCCCCCCCCACACACACACCCTGTCGTCTGACCTCCCTTCGCTCCCCACGTGGGCCTTGGCCCTCTCCTCGGGCCCTGGGCTGTCCTGAGTGCCCAGAGGGTGGATGGAGCGGTGCTGGCCCAGGGTGTGTGGTTACATAACCCTCTGCCTCGGCAGGAAGGGCTGGACACTCACTGACCCCTCACCACCCACTGGGGTATTTGCACAGCTGCTGCTGCCCCCCACGGAGGCCTTCGGGAATGTGCTTTTCCCCTTGGGGGGCCCTCCCTGTCCCCCACATCTGCCTCCGAGGTGCTTGCCCTGCTCCACTCAGCCCTGCAGGGGTCTGGGCTGGACTGGGTCACTTCACTGGGCCTGGATGGAGTTGGCTCAAGGCCACTTGGTGGCTTGGGCTCTGTGTCCCACGGGGAGCACAGAGGGAGGCAGAGATGCTGTGCAGATAAGGCCATGGGCTCCCAGGGGCCGTCTGGAAAGGCTTTTGTGCAAGAGTTATGGCCTCATTTTTTTTTTTTTTTGGCTTTTTGTGTCACACCTGGCGATGCTCAGGGCTGATTCCTGGCTCTACACTCAGGAATCACTCTTGGCAGTGCTCAGGGGATCCTATGGGATGCTGGGAATCGAACCCAGGTCGGCCGCGTGCAAGGCAAACGCCCTCCCTGCTGTGCTATCGCTCTAGCCCCAGCCCTCAGACTGGGTTTTGAAGGTTGTATAGGAGTTTGCCAAGGAGAAGATGGAAGTGCCCTGTTCAGACGAACAGAGACCATAGCAATGTAGACTAGGTGTTTTCCTTTGGGGGAGCGGGGAGCTTGGGCCACGCTCAGTGATGCTCAGGGCTGACTCCTCGCTCAGCATTTGGGGATCACTTGGGGGACTTTATGGGATGCAGGGATCGAACCCAGGTTGGCCATAAGGCAGACATCCTACCCTCTGGACTATGGCTCCGGGCCCCTAGATGTTTCCTTGAGAGAGGAACCAGCTCCCCCATGCAAGTCCCTTGCCTCCTGCCTCTGCCTCAGGATTGGGGACACCCCACAGGGCTTGGCCCCGAGGGGAGGCAGTGAAGGCCGGTCCCGGTGCCGGTGGTGGCACCCACCCAGTTGTCCTCAGTTAAGTCCACTCCCCCAGAAGGCTGGGGCCGTGGCTAGCCGCCAGCTGTCCTCTTTGCTCGAGAGAGCAAGTGCTCTCTGGGCACAGGAGGGCGACGACTTCCCGCCAGGCTCGCTCCACGCTGGGCTCTGGGTGGTCATGCCGGGCAGAGGGGCCTGTCCGCCGTGCTGGCCCCGTGTCTGAGAAGGGGCGCCGCCAGCTCTGTGGGAAGCCCAGGAGTGGGCTGGAAAAGGGACCGGTGAGTGTGGGACTGGGGGTATCAAAGGGGGCTGTCGCAGGGCGGCTTGCGCATCACCAAAGCCAGTATCAGTCATGTGACCGCTGTGGCCCCGCCCACCTCCAGGGTTGCTGACACTGGGGACTGTGGGGACCGTCTCCCCGCACCCTGCCTGCCTCCTCCCTCCCCTCTCACTTCTGTTGGGTCGATGTGGGAACCCCCTTCCTCCTGGCCCCGCTGGTCTCTCAGTCTGGATTTGCATAGTTGGGGGCCTGCAGGCACGATTGGTCCTTCCCTCTGACCACTTGGCTCTGAGGAGCCCCCGGAGTTCCCCTCCAGCCCCCTTTCCTCTGTGGGCAGCTGTGGAGCAGCCAAGGGGGATGCTGGATTTTTCTGCTCATCTGTGGCCCTGGGGATCACTGCCTGGCTTGCATCAGGCTGTGGTAAGTGTGGACAGACAGCATGTCCAGTCAGACTGAGGCAAGCAGGGTTCACACAGACTGTCCAATCAGGCTGAGGTCAGCATGGCACACACATGTCCAGTCAGGCTGAGGTCAGCAGGTACACACAGACACCATGTCCAGTCAGGCTGAGGTAAGTGGGGTACACACAGACTTCCAGTTAGGCTGAGGTAAGCGGGGTACCCACAGACAGCATGTCCAGTCAGGCTGAGGTCAGCATGGTACACACATGTCCAGTCAGGCTAGAGGTAAGCGGGTGCACACAGAACATCCAGTCAGGCTGAGGTCAGCATGGTACACACATGTCCAGTCAGGCTGAGGTAAATGGGGTACACACAAACAGCATATCCAGTCAGGCTGAGGTAAGCGGGGTACCCACAGACAGCGTGTCCAGTCAGGCTGAGGTAAGCAGGGTACACACAGACAGCGTGTCCAGTCAGGCTGAGGTATGCGGGGTACACACAGACAGCATGTCCAGTCAGGCTGAGGTCAGCACGGTACACACATGTCCAGTCAGGTTAGAGGTAAGCGGGTGCACACAGAACATCCAGTCAGGCTGAGGTCAGCATGGTACACACATGTCCAGTCAGGCTGAGGTAAATGGGGTACACACAAACAGCATATCCAGTCAGGCTGAGGTAAGTGGGGTACCCACAGACAGTGTGTCCAGTCAGGCTGAGGTAAGCAGGGTACACACAGACAGCGTGTCCAGTCAGGCTGAGGTAAGCGGGGTACACACAGACAGTGTGTCCAGTCAGGCTGAGGTCAGCGGGGTACCCACAGACAGTGTGTCCAGTCAGGCTGAGGTAAGCGGGGTATACACAGACAGCGTGTCCAGTCAGGCTGAGGTCAGCATGGTACACACATGTCCAGTCAGGCTGAGGTAAGCAGGTGCACACAGAATGTCCAGTCAGGCTGAGGTCAGCATGGTACACACATGTCCAGTCAGGCTGAGGTAAGCAGGTGCACACAGAATGTCCAGTCAGGCTGAGGTCAGCACGGTACACACATGTCCAGTCAGGCTGAGGTAAATGGGGTACACACAAGCAGCATATCCAGTCAGGCAGAAGTAAGCGGGGTATACACAGACAGCATGCCCAGTGAGGCTGAGGTAAGCGGGGTGCACATGGCATGGCCCGTCAAGGCCGTGGCAAGTGGGGTACACATAGCATCTCTAGTCAGGTTGCGGCAATTGGGGTGCACACAGCATTCCAGCAGATGTTTTCTAGTTCATCTCCCTTCCCCTCTCCGAGGAGAGCCGAGCCCAGGGAGGGTGACTTCCTGTGTGAGACCCTTGCCTCATGCCTGGAAGTGTTGGCATACGTGCTTTGGGGGTGACCGACAGCAGCAGCTGTCCTGGCACTCTGAGACGCTTTCACAAATATGTAACCATCCGACCTTCTTCCTTCTGTCGCCCCGTGACTTGCGGCCCTCTTGGCCCTCATCCCCGCCTGCGAGGGTGATACATGTGGGTGTTGTCACTCTGGAGACAGACACTGGAGTTCATGTTCCCACTCGTCTCACAGGGTCCAGGGCACTCACCCTGAGAGTCACTTCCTGGGCCTGCCCCTCTGTGCTGGGCTCCCCAGGGACACGCCCCCAAGCCCCTGGGCCCGACTGTTTTCTCCTGCAGATTGGCCAAACTAGGGCACTTTACAGCTTGGTTTGTAGATTTTTAGATTCCTCGTTGCCTTTGTTTCTTCTTTTGGGTGAAGGAGCCTATGCACTGTGCTCTGGACTGACTCCTGGCCCTGTGCTCAGGGCAGACTCCTGACTCTGTGCTCAGGGCTCACTTCTGGCTATGCTCAAGGCTAACTCCCGTCTCTGTGCTCAGGATCACTCCCAGATCTGTGCTCAGGGATCACTCCTGACTCTGTGCTCAGGGATTACTTCCAGCTCTGTGCTCAGCACTCACTCTTGGCTTTCTGCTCAGGGCTTACCCGTGGCTCTGTGCTCAGGGCTCACTCCCGGCCCTGTGCTCAGGGATCACTCCTGGCAGGGCTCAGGGGCCCTGTGTGGTACTGGGGAGAGAACTGTGGTCAGTGTGTGCAAAGCCAGCACCTTAACCTTAATTTCTGGACTATCATTCTGGCCCCAATCAAATATATATATATATATATATATATATATATATTTGCTTTTTGGGTCACACCCAGCAATGCACAGGGGTTCCTCCTGGCTCATGCACTCAGGAATTACCCCTGGCGGTGCCCGGGGGACCCTATGGGATGCTGGAAATTGAACCCGGGTCGGCCACGTGCAAGGCAAACGCCCTACCCGCTGTGCTATCGCTCCAGCCCCTCCAATCAAATATTTTTAAGGTTCCAGAGAATGTTGAAAGCACCGAGTCCAACTCTGTTTAGGGGTGTGTGGGGAGTGGAGACAGAAGAGCACGAAGAAGTGGCTGGGCTGTCCTCAGGGTGCGCCGGCACGCCCACTGCTGCCTCTCTGCGTTCGTGACTGTGACCGCTGGAAGCTCTAGAGAAGTGTCTCTGCTGAATCAGGCCAGTCAGTCGAAAAAATACTGTTAGAGGCAAAATTTTTCTTAGGTGAATTTTCTTAGGTAGCACTGTAGCACGGTCCTCCCGTTGTTCATCGATTTGCTCGAGCGGGCCCAGTAACGTCTCCATCATGAGATTTGTTGTGACTGTGTTTTGGCATAATGAAGATGTCACGGGGATCTTGCCAAATTAGGTAAACTTGGTGCTTTGGCAGGTGGGGCGGGGGTTCTCCCAAATCGAGCTCAGGGGGTTTAAGGCCCCTCCCGGAGGTTCTTGGCCAAAGGGGTTCTAGGAGGTGGTGTTGAGGATCACCCAGAACCCCCGCCCCGCCCCAGCCTCCCCATTGGTGCTCAGGGTCCCTGAGGTGCCCAGGG